TTTAGCTTGGTTTCAAAAAGGGGGAGTTGCTTGCTATTCCCAGAAAGGGGAAAGTCACCATGAGTATCAGCATTGGCTATAGGGAGGTAAAATGCAATACTTCTCACACTRTGATCAGCAATCAGCATCAGCACCATCTGGAAACTTGTTAGAAAGGCAGATTCTCACACTCCTTCCTAGACTGATGGAACCAGAAATCCATGTATTAATAAGCCTTCCAGATAATCCCAGCAAATCCTAAAGTCTGAGAACCATACCATATATTGAAAGTTTAATGAAAATACTTTTACGTCTATGAAATGAAATACTATGCTTATCTATTGAGATTGTTTTTAAATTGATGCTCTTTTTGTTATGTATCTATGTGAGGATTTTTGTCTACCTAAGTGAGCCGGAGGCTAGTCCAATAGTGTTCACACCTATATGACCTGYAATGTGTGAACAACGTGCTCCCACCTGATTCAGCGTTCACTCCTGTACTCATTCATGAATACACATATTTAAAAGAATCTTCCAAAAAAAAAAAAACTTTAAGAAGATATAGTTACTAAAACAGCTCATTCATATTCTTTTTGTAAAAGTTGCTATAGTCTGGATAAGTGTCCCCCTCAAATACCCATGATTTAAAGGCTTGGTCTCTAGCAGTGGCACTTTTGGAAGATGGTGCAGCTGTTAAGAGAGAGAGAATCTAGTGGAAGAAAGTTAGGTCATTGGGAGCATGCTTTTGAAAGAGATATTGGAGTTCTGCCCCCTTTCGGTATTTTTCTTTTCTTCCAGGCCACTATGAGGTGAGCATCTTCCTCTGCCACACCTTCTCCATCATGTTGTACTTCCCTGACACAGGCCCAAAGGTAATGGGGCTAAATATAGCACAAAATAGACTAAGACATTTTCAATGTTAATTTTTTGAGAGTATATTTGGACAGTTTTTGATTGGGAATGTGATAGAAGTAAATGAATTTACTTCTTTATAGCCCTAAGCAAATAACCCAAAGAAAATAAGCTTATGTAGAGGTAACTTGGACCCTTATCCCTGTTTGACTACTAGGGATATTTCATTCACTCATTCTTTTTTTTTATACTTTTATTTTGTCTAATTGTTTTTATGTGGTGTTGAGGATCGAACCCAGGGCCTCACGCATGCCAGGYGAGCGCTCTACGACTGAGCCACTACCCCAGCCCCCTCATTCTTCATTCATATTTTCAGCCAATGCTTATGATATGCAATGCGCTAGGCACCTCTCTAGGCTCCTGGGCACATCCGTACACAAAGATCTGTCTCCCTGAGTTTAATCTACCATAAAGAGAAGACAATAAACACAATTGTTGTGGGCTGAATTGTGTCACCCTTCTCTTCTCAAAATTCATACACTGAAGCCCTAACCACCAAGGTAACTATAAAGACATACAGCCTTAGGGAAGTAATTAAGGGTAATGAAGTAATGAGTGCTAATTTGATAGCACTCATGATCTTATAGGAGGAGATACCAGAAAATTCCCATGCCTGTGCGCGCGCACACACACACACTCACACACACAAAAGGCCATGTGAGGGTACAGTGACAAACTGGCTATTTGCAAGCCAGGAAGAGAGGCCCCACCAGAAACTAATCTTTATGGCATCTTAGTCTTGGATTTTCAGCCTTTAGAATTGTGAGGAAAAATAGTTTTCTGTTGTTTAAGTCACCTAGTTTGTGATTTTTTTTTTTTGTTATCGCAGCCCAAACAGACTAACACAATAATAAATAAACTAGATAGCATGTGATAAGTGCTATGGGAAAAAAAAGTGAGTAGAGAGGGTAAGGATTATTATATATGAGGGACGGAAGGAGCCTAAGGTCTAACAGCCACTGAGTTATACAGCTGGAAACCTCTCTAAGCCTCAATTTTGTCATTGTTAAAATAGGAACTGTATCAGTTCTTACCATACAAGGCTTAATGAAGATTAAGTGAATCACTGTATATAAAGGGCAGAGAATAGTGCCTGGCACATAGTAAATGTCCAATAATGGAGAGTCATCTCTATATACTACTGCCACCACTACTATTTGGGAATGGCATTTACTTCTAGGGCCAGAGGCCACTTATTTAAAAGTGGTCTATGCTCTACTATGGAGCATTGACTATATAGAACTGTCAGTATTGGTGGATGCCACTGAGTTGCTATATCGCATTCTTTTTCTTTTTATCCTTTTTCTTGGCCAGGATACTATTTTAGAAGAAGAGTTAGCATCTCCGTATAAAGGGATACTTCTGTTGCCAAAAGCGTTGGAATGTTTAACTCAAACTGAAAATATTTTAGAATTGGGGAAGATCAAGGTTTGAAAAAGTGCTCAAAAGAGAAAAAATGTTGCTCTCTTAGGGTTCCTAAATTGGTATAAGGCTAGCTGCTATAACAAAGATGCTCTTGTTCATATAACCATCCCAGATTGGTTTTCCTGGACAGCTGGTAGTCTCTGTGCAATGATCCAAGGAGACAGATTTCTTCCAACACTTCTTTTCATATTCCATTAAGAAGAGTTAGTATATTCTCCTACACAGAAAGGGAGGCTGAGAAATGTAGTTCCTGAATACGATTCCTTTATCTCAGTGACAACTTTGTGCCACAGAAGATGAGTACTGGCTTGGGTGGATCATGTGCTGCTTCTACCCCAGCACCCTACTCTTACTCTAAAGATCCACATGTACTCTCCCTGCCAAACATAGAACATGTTCAGACCTTGGCCAAAGGAGCCCATCCAGAATCAAGGCAATCACTGCCCTCAGCTTGTGGTCAGGGATCTGTGAGTGAGGCACTGTCCTCTCCAATGGTCTGGGTAAGATTCTTTGTGGTCTGGAGATTCAAGAATCAAAAACAAAGACTAAAAGTCTAGATAAGACTAGCTATTTCATATGTATTATGTGCAGTACTAGTGCAGGATAATAAGAAACACACCCAATTGAAGAGAAAGTGGAAAAATTCTAGAGATCTATGGCAGTGATGAAACTCTGCTGGATGGGTCTTTTGAAGATCCACTACCCTGGCGATGGTGAAAATTTCTTGATTTGATCCTCGTTCTGTCATCTGATAGGAACTACCCTGCCATTGTTCTCCAAACACCTTGCTTCATCCTCTGGGAAGTTCTTTTTGATATTTATTCTCATCTTTGCACTATGGGATAAGGGTTATGTTTTTACTCTGTGGGTCCTAGACCTCCTGTAATCAAATAGGACCTTTGTTAATAATGTTCTTTAAGGAGAACATTAATTAATACCCTCAAAGTATGTCTCCTGCATTTTTTTTCCATATTTGATTCTGAGAATCAAAAGTTGTAAAAATAGATTATCATGAAAATATCAGAAAGGAAGAGGGATATGAAAAAGTCCACATAAAGGTACAAGAGACAGCGTAAGTGGTCAGAAGAAATGTGCAAAATGTTCAAGTGTTCACTGCAGGTGTATGGATTTCTTCTTTTTTTGAAATGAACAATAGGGACATTTCCACTTCTCTTGTGAGCTGCATTAGCAGGGCTCTGGAAGCCAAGCTTCTAAGGTACTCTTGGGTTTTCCCACCAAACTTTGCCTATTCCTCTACATTTATTGTGTACTTAACAAAGGACTTTAGGCAGTGATCCCCACCACGTATTCTAGGCCAAACACTGTGGGTTAAAATTCCATAATTTTATTATGAAATAAAAGCCCTGTTCCTTCCCTTTCTAGAGTTTGTAATCTGATTGCAACATTAAGTTTGCATGCATCTAAAATGACACAGAGAGAAAGCCCATGGGAAGTGAATAGCACAGGGAATGTATGAAACTATTCTTGCTTTATTGGAAATCAAGAAACCTGAAGGGCACATGTGTTCTCAGCAGGAGCTGGGTGCTGAGAACACCATGTGTGAACTCTTGGAACAGTTGAACTGCTGTGTGAACTCTTGGAGTCAGGCATATGCCTTTCAACTTGGAATTCATTCATCGCATTACTTGACACCCATTGGGAGCCCACTAGAAGCTTGTTGCCTAAGAAATTATTTCCTAACACTGATGACAAAAGAATATAAAAAACAAAATCCAGCAGAAAGTCATAGAGGATTGGTCAGAACAGTCTACCCGGAGAGGATTGATTGACCAAAAATCAGTTTTGATTAATACAATTATGGATAAGCGAAAAGAGTTGGAGGGCATTTTGTGTGTGTGGGTGGGTGAGGGGTTGGTGATAGAGATTTGCGAACATGAATGTGGCTTTGCACACATCAGGAATGTTTTGTGCAGTGGCTACTAAGGAAGGGATCACAGCATTCTGGTCTGACCTTCTTTGTCTTGAATTGGGTTTACTTTGTTTGACTACATAATAAATGTTCTGGGAAGAAAATTCAAACAGACATACTGTTGAAGGTAAATCTTCCCAGATGACTAGCTCCCTCTCTAGAGACTACCTTGAAGAGAAAAATATCCTTTCCCAAATATTTTATGCCTATTCAGGTGCTCTTAATGACAATCAACCATTTCCCCCCTACTATATCCTTTATTATTTTAACAGCAACACATGATAGAGCCTGTTGTGATATGCCTTTTTTCCTTCTTTCATTTCTCCTTTCCTCTCTCTCTCCCTTCCTTCCAACAATGTTAACATGCTATATACACTTCTGTACTTTTATCTATTTATATTTAAATATATCTTGGAGATAAGAGTTCTATATTTTTACATTTTGAACTCCTTTATTGTTATTATTTGCAATAGCCACATGATATCCCATGCATGGAATGTTAAAATCAAATTAACAAGTCCTCCAATGAGTCATTTTCAGTCCTTTTTAGTTCTTTGTTTTTATAAACAAAGCTTCATGAACACCCACGTACATGTCTTTGCATGCACATGCAAATATTCATATGAATGGAATTACTGGGGCAAAGATTCAGATGCTCTTTTTTATTTTTTATTTATTTATTTTTTAAAAAATACATGACAGTGGAATGTATTACAATTCTTATTACACATATAAAGATTCAGATGCTCTTAATGACAATCAACCATTTCCCTCCTATTATATCCTTTATTATTTTAACAGCAACACATGAYACAGCCTATTTATCTATGTCCTTGGTAGTACACTCTTAGGAAAGAGATTTTTCTTGCTGATCTGAAATAGCCTCACTTGCAGTGTTGGTTTAAGTTGCTTTTTATGAATGACACTAACAATCCTTTCATCTGTTTAAAAGCTATTTTCATTTTCTGTCCATTSGTGACCTCTGCCCATTTTTCCCCTTGGGCTGATGTCTTTTGGGTCTTGATTTACAAGAACTATTTCAATATTAAGGAAATTAATTTTTTTTAACCTAGTAATGTTTAGAAATATTATCATTTAGTTTGTCATTTACCTTTGGACGTTTTTAAGGTATTCTCTTCATGCAAGATATATTGTAATATAGTTGAGTTTATTAATAGTTTGGGGTTTTGTTTCATACATACAACTTCCAGACCCTAAGATTTTTTTTTAATTATCTCAAGAATTATTGAGGCAATTTTATGATTTCTATTTTTTGAACACTGAAAACTTTGATTTATAAAGAATCCATTTTGAAGTTTAAGAAGCCAGGAGGTGGGACCAGTCACCAGGGGAGTCCTAGTTTCTTTTTTCTCAGCAAATACTGAGTGACTACTGTGTGCCAGCCAATGTGCTGAGCATTGGGCCAGAGAATCTCTTGGGGAATCTGGTACACAATGAGAATAAACCATGGTCACATAATCTCAAAGCAATATGTCATCCATATGACAGAAGAAAAGTTGATTCTAAATATCTGCATTTGCATGAGAATTCCCAGAACCTGAAAGAGAGAKAAACAAGTGAAAAGCCCAGTCATCTGCTCAGCTCTCTCCAGCTGGGGCCTGCCTCCCCTCCACCCCACCCCACTTTCMAGACTAACACACAGGACCTCCTACGCCTCTGTCTCCTTTACCTCCCTCTGAAGTGCAGAGACCTGGTAGGAGGTCTCTGGAGGGCCTTCTGCTCTGCTGGGTGGTGGGCCCCACCTGTACCCTCTGAGGTTTCATCCCTACCCCTCCCATCCAGGGACACAGAAGGGTCAAATCTGCCAGCATCTGAGGCCGGATTGCCCAATGGGCATCCCAGTCCTCTCCCAGGGCCTCCAGCTGTTGATTGCCCCTTTCTATTCAGTTCCTGGATGAATCTGGACAGTTGCCACCCCACAGCATCTGAGGCATTCTCAGAGAGTCTTTTATTGGCGATTCTCCTTAGGTTTATGATCAGTTTTCCCTTCTCAGTCAATGAGCCACGTATGTTCAAGCCTGCCAGGTAATGGTGGATGGCCACGTCGTCACTCAACCTCTGGTACTGCTGGAAGTTGCCGTACCTAAGGTGGAGCACTTGTTTCTCGGCAGGAGAAAGATCCTTACTGAATTCTTTCTGGAAGTAATACTCGGCTTCATCGTACTGGCCTGTGATAGCATACAGGCAGGCAAGGTCCGAGCAGGCCCGGGGGAGGTTGATGTTCAACTCAACAACTTTTTTAAAATGATCCACAGCATTTTTCATTATTTCCCGTAGTTTTTCTTCCTCCTCGTTAGTGGTGCACTTTCTTGACCTCTGTATTTGTCTGATTTTTGCTCTGTAGCAGCATCCAATCTGGAGATGTTGGTAGACATTGTTGGGTACTGATTCTAATGCCTTTTTGAGCAATTCTATAGCTGTGTCCAGGGAACCTTTATTCCGGTAATATTTAGCAGCGCTACAGAGTACATCTGTTGGACAAGGTGTTTTCTTCAAGGCCTCTTCAACCAACTGGTCTCCTTCAACTTCGGCTTTGTTCTTGACCTTTTGAAGAGTCAGAGCCAGGAGAACATTAACATATTGGTTGTTAGGATTCAGCTGGATGGCCTGCCTCAGGAGGCGAATGGTGTTTTCGGTTGGTGCTTCATCACCCAGGCGGTACAGTGTGATTGCCAGTCCTAGGGAGAACTCAGGATTGGTGGGTTTCTCTACCAGAGCCTTCTCAAAACACTCCTTAGCCCGTTCATAGTATTTTCCTCCCCATTTTAAAAGTGCCCATCCTTCTTCACAGTCAATCTCAGGGCATTCGATTCTATAGGAGCTTGCAAATGTCTTACAGAGTTTTTCCACCTTGTTGATGTAAACTTGAGCTTCTGAGAATCTGCCCATGTGATAGTAGATCCATGCATAGTTCCCCCAGGTGACCATGCTTCTGATTGTGCCTTGGTGGCCCTGCTGCTGCAGATTAAACTCCTCTGCTCTTCGAAGGTATACCAGGGCCACCTCATGCTGGCCTCTGAGGTGTTTAACATAGGCAAACAGATTGTACATGATCGTTTTGAATTCTGTGTTTAGAAATTCTACCTGATCACGAACTCTGTCTTCTAAATCCTGTAAGGAACTTTCTTCGTCATATAAATTCCAGGTAAAGTGACATTTCAGTTGTGGTAAGATATTTTCCAAGGAATGTTTGGCAATTTCACTACAGGGGAAGAAAAAGAAGGAATTGAGGATGACAGGCAGCAGTAGCAGGAGGCAGTGTTTTTGGGGCATGGGTGCTTGATCACACCTCAGATACAAGATGAGAAATTTGAGACTTATCTCATTATTCTCAAATACTAGTAGCTCAACTCTGAGTCCCATGCCCTCTTTTTCATTCTGCCTCAAACAAGGTGGTGAGAGAAAATTAACTAATGGACCAGACATGGGGGAAGGAGACATTTTTGTCTCACTAACATGGGGAGCCAGCACTCACCCTGAACAGCACTAGCTAACTAGCTAATCATTAGCTCAGTGTCCTGGCCAGGCCAACCTAAAAGTGCAGGAGAGCATTTCCTTCCACCACAGTTAGATTTGTTTCTCGATTTACTGGGTTCAAGTCCCTTCTGCCAATCTGCCCAAATACTTGTAGATCAGTCAATGACCTGCGTATGAATAGAGAGAATGCTCTGAGTCCTTTTATAGGAATGGAGTGTGCATAGAAAATTAGTTTATTTAGGTTGTTCCATAGTGAGTATTTTATCCATCTGAGGTTGGGCCTATGAGGATAGAGCTATTTATGTCACTGTCCCCATTGATTTGCTTTGCTGAGCTGGCTCATAGGACAAATTCAAGAACTAAAATAATTCAAATGCTTCGTACTCCTTACCTGGATGGGTACCACCTGATGCCATAGCCCACTACCCTTTCCCCTTGGTTAGTGGCCAAATTCCCTGTAGCCACAAAAACAACAGACACATTACCTACAGAGAAGGAGAGAAATCTGGAGTAGATGAGAAACACACCAAAAATTCTACTCACAAAAATCAAGGAGAAAACTATACACAGAAAATAAATAATACAAGCATCATTTTTAATAGCTAAAGGGTTCTAACAAATGGTAAAGAAAATTCTAATGTGAACAGGTCATTTAAAATTTACCAACATATATGAAAAAGGTCATTGATAATCAAAGAAATGCAAATTAAATGAACAGTATTATTCACTTACAATTTTTTAAAAATCGAATCTGACAAGAATATGGTGAATTGGGCATTCTCATACAAGAGTACTTGAAGAATATTTTGACTAGAACTTGTAGGGTATTGTTACAAAATTTAATAGGTATTTTAGACATAAAAACTTGAATTTTAGGAATGTACAAAACATTAATTATTCAATCAAAGGTTGCAATGGTCTTTTGATATGTCAACTTGGCTAGGCTGTTGTCCCCAATTATTCATTCAAACACTAATCTAGGTGCTGCTATGCAGGTATGTGGTAGATAGGATTAAAGTTTATTGGTAGTTAATTTAAGTAAGAGAGAGAGTGCTAAATAATCTGGACAGGCCTGAATTAATCAATAGAAAGGCTTTAGGTGCAAAGCTGACCTTCTGTAGTGAAGAAATACTGCCTGTGACACAGCTACAGCCTGTGCCCCAGGGTTCCAGTCTGCCTTTCTGGATGGCTTGTCCCATGGATTTCAAAAGGCTGTCAAACCCTACAGTCCTATAAGCCAATTCCTTGCAATGTCTCCATTCTAATGTCCACCAATTCCTTGATATGTCTCTTAAGACATATCTTCTATTGCTTTCAGTTCTCCGCTTAAACACCAGTTGACTGAAAGGTTAATGAACTAAGGAGGCTCACGGCAAAGATAGTTACAATTGTTTAAATTTTTTAAAAACCTAGATGATGTTCTATATAAAAATATTTTAAAAAGCTGGGTGCAGTAGCACACACCTATAATCCCAGTGTTGGGGAGGCTAAGACAGGAGGATGGTGAATTCAAAGCCAGTCTCAGCAAAAGTAAGGCGCTAAGCAACTCAATGGGGCCCTGTCTCTAAATAAAATACAAAATAGGGCTGGAGATGTGGCTCAGTGGTTGAGCACCCCTGAGTTTAATCTCTGGTACCGCCCCCCAAAACAAAAATTTTAAAGTATTGTAGGACAAGCAATTGAACATGATACTACTCTAGTTCCTTCCTTAAAATTCACTTTAGACTTCAATTCACAAGGAAAAAAAGAGGAGTACAAAATACAATAAAAACTTGAAGACTCTGAATGAGTTAGACAAACAGTAATTGCTCACCAAACCCAAGAAAAGTAAATCTACCAGCCATGGGAAAAATTTTAAAAAGCAACCTAATGTATAATGCAGAATTCTCCAAAGGCTCAGGTATTGGTAGCACAGAGTGCTGCAGAAGTGTGTGTGTGTGTGTGTGTGTGTGTGTTTAAAGAAAGTTCTACGTTAGAAAACCAATTTATAGTGCCTAAAATCTTAAAAATCAAGAACAACCAATAATCATATTATTTAAGTATTTTACAAAACAGTCACTAAAAGACTTACACAGTAAATAATAACCTGTAGAGAATGGGAAATAGGGTGGAATGGAGGTGGTGGGGGGCTGCTATTTTCCATACATTTTATAGATCATGTTGACTATTTAAATGGTGTGAATGTATACATTTGATGAAACTGAAAAAGAATGAATCTGGTATAAGGTGAGGGGAAAAAAAGGAGAAAGGAGAGGGGAAGGAAATGAAGGAAAGAAGAAAAAAGATCCATACATACATATACCCGCACAACTTTTTTTTTGAAAAATTTTCAAAGTTGACGATGTATATCACAGTTTAATCTTATCTTTTCACTTAGTAATACACACACACACACACACACATACACACACACACACACACATGCATATATGTAGTTTTTTTTTTTTTTTTCTGGTTGGTGATATTAGGCGCGATACGAATTTTCCCCTTAGACTTGATGGTAATTTCTCAACATTCCTTTTGTGTGCTTTCTGTATTTTTATCCTGAGAAAAATCTTTCAGGATTCTAGTTTGTCCTTTTACTTTTTAAAGACCACTGAAGATATAAAACAAAACAGAAAGGGAGTGCATGGGTGTTGGGATTAGTCACGCCCAGCTTCTCCGGAGGCTCTGGGGGACTTCAGAGAGAGAGGATCCTTGCTTATCGACAGACTGCGGTTCCTTGAAAAAGAATTGATCAACGAAATCAGCTCATCCCCTACCAGCGCTGCAGCGCTGAGCTCTGATAAAGAAGTACGCCACTCTGAAAAATTATAATGAACTAACCTATGCTTCTGGCTGCCTTTTAGATGAAGAACCTAAAAAACAAGAGCGTGAAAGAACATTTCTGCCGCTTTTGTATTCCTAACTGTTGAAGACGTGGCGGCGATGAGGGATTCGGATAGCCCGCCCCTCCCCCTCCGCCAACAACAACCGCGACGTTCCTGCCAGCTCCCGGTCCTGGCCACTTCCAGTTTAGGATTTCTAAAAGCTTCCTTTAGGGGAAGCCTCTAGGAGCCCAGATGTGCCACGGAACTTAAAATACCAGATTTGGGGGGGGGGGGGGGCGGATCATTCTTTGGATTGTGGCATGCAGCATATTTAACCAGATGTCAAAATCTAGCACTTGAGAAAATCTGCTTTGAGATTTTCAATGGCATTAGACGTAATTTGAAGGAATCAATACAAGAAAGAAGAAAAAAATCCTTTACCTCATGGTCGCTGCCCTGCGGTCCTGCAGTGTTGTGGCGAAGGCTGATTTGCTGTTCAGAATTCTGCCTAAGGGGACTGCGGAGCCCAGAGGAAAGGAAGCCCCGCGCTGTTAATGAAGGGTGCCTTTATGTGTATTTGCAAATATGAAATGGAGCTTGTTCCTGGCAAGTACTACTAACTTTCATCTACACTGGTTTCCTGCTGTAGGAAAAGGAGACTTTCACAGGGAGAGCTTTTATTTTTCTGGTTGGGGACTCAACTGGGATGGAGTGTTTGGAGGAAATGTGTGCAAGGCAAAGGGAAATTTACTAGAGGGAGGATCAGGAATGTAGCCATGGGGGAAGTGTAAATCTAAAAATAACCATTGGACTAGGATGGTTTCTGGAGAAATGTCACCACTAGTTAATAGTGATCAAAATTTGCATTCAGGACTTCATTCAACTTATTCATTTACCAGATTAATAAGAGAAGATGTGCTATGGTTAAGTGCCCGTGGGTTTAATCTCCAGACAATCAATCAATCAATCAATCAATCAATAATTCAGAGAGCTTATGCTGCCTGCCCAAGGAGGGAAGTTCAGGTCTGTCTGACTCTTACATTCTCATTTGTTCATTGTGCTTGAGATCAAAGACACTGGATCTAAATTGCATGGGTACCAATTTCTGCTCTGCCATTCACTACTTGTATAAACTTGTATCCATTCTTCATCTATAAAGAGAATAGGAGTTCACATGAATAAGTTATTGTGGAGCCTTAAAATGGACCCCAGCACACGATGGCTGCAAAGGGAGTATCTGCTCTCACTGTTGGATGTTTGGAATTCTCGAGTTTTGGCATTGACTCTAGTTCCTGGCTCTGTCACCAACTGCCTTGACAGACAAATCATAAAGCAGGCCTCATTTTTATTCTCAGAGAAATAAACTAATTAGCCTGGATGATCCTTCAAAGGCCTTTCTCAGTATAAAAATCTGTGACTCTAAAATCTCATGGATCTATATCCTGGAATCTAGTTCCCACCATATGTACAAGTTCTCAATATCTGGCCCTATGATGGATCAGACCTCATAGCCCATGGGTGTGTCTTATTGCCAAATACCTCCATTGATCCTACCTACCTTTAATGCCTCCTCTCAAGTAGACTTTTATGTTCTAAAGTAGTTCCAAACTGAGATGTCTTCATCAGCTATCAAGTTGTCTTAATTAAGCTATTAGGTAAAGTGTAGTTAGTGGTGACATGCTTGGGCTTGGTTTCTGGAATCTTTTTTTTTAAATATTTATTTTTTTTTAGTATTATGTGGACACAATATTTTTTTTACCTTGAATTTATTTATTTTTATTTTTTATTTATATATGACAGTGAAATGCATTACATTCTTACTACACATAAGAGCACAATTTTTCATATCTCTGGTTGTATACAAAGTATATTCATATAAATTTGTGTCTTCATACACGTACTTTTAGATAATAATGATCATCACATTCTGCCATCATTTCTAACCCCATGCTCCCTCTCCCTATCCCACTATTAATCAGCCTTCTTATATCAAAGAAAACATTTGGCATTTGGTTATTTAAGATTGGCTAACTTCACTTAACATTATCTTCTCTAATTGCATCCATTTACCTGCAAATGCCATGATTTTGTTCTCTTTTATTGCTGAGTAGTATTCCATTGTGTACATATGCCACATTTCTTTTATCCATTCATCTATTGAAGGGCATCTAGGTTGGTTCTACAGTTTAACTATTGTGAATTGTGCTGGTATAAACATTGATGTGGCTGTGTCCCTGTAGCATGCTGTTTTTAAGTCCTTTGGGTATAGATCGAGGAGAGGGATAGCTGGGTCAAATGGTGGGTCCATTCCAAGTTTTCCAAGGAATCTCCATACTGCTTTCCAAATTGGCTGCACCAGTTTGCAGTCCCACCAGCCGTGTATGAGTGTACCTTTCCCCCCACATCCTCACCAACACTTACAATATTTTACTTCTATGTGGTGCTGAGGATCGAACCCAGGGCTTCATGCATGCTAGCATTCCACCACTGAGCCACAACCCCAGCGCTGTTTCTGGAATCTTGATGCCTGAATTCAAATCTGTTCCTTCAATTACCAGTTGTTTGACCTTTAATAATAACTTGAGCTGAACCTTAATTTGCATATATGTAAACTTCAGGAATTAATACAAACCTGATAGTGTTAAAGAGAAATTTTGCAGCAGGTATTTGTTTAAAACAATAAAGCAGACTATTAAAGACTATTGCAATAAGGGAGAGACACTATTGCAGTAGAAGAGAGAGATGAAATTCAACTCTGAACACAAATGTGGATTTATAGCCAATGGATAGTGTAAGAGAGTAAAAGGAAAATTACTAAGAGGAACTTGGTTGGATATCAAGGATTAGGAAAGAGGAGCTTAACTGGATATTAAAAGTAGGGGCATTCTTAATAAACTGACTTACCAAGATTCTTTCCTAAAACTGGACTCTACAGGCCAAAGTCAAGTCCAAGTTAAGAAGATGCCTCTGGCTAAAATAGAAAGGAAACTGACTAAAGTTTCAAGTCAAGGAGGAAATCTTGGCCAAGAGTTATAATGAGTACTTAGCAAATATTTACCTTCCATCAGAAATAGCCACTTGGGTTTTTAAATCAAGGTTATTTATGATTTCCTCTGTAGCAAGATCACAATTTGAAATATACTAATGTGCTTTTTCTTTTGCGTTTCCTTATCCAAGACATTTCACCTATAAAACCTGAGGCAAGAGGGTTTTTATTTTATTTTATTTTTAATTGCTTTTATTTTTTAAATATATGAGCAGCGGAATGCATTACAATTCATACTACACATATAGAGCACAATTTTTCATATCTCTCTATATAAAGTATGTTCACACCAATTCATGTCTTCATACATGTACTTTGGATAATGATGTCCATGACATTTCATCATCATTGCTAATCCCCTGGCCCCTCCCTTCCCCTCCCACTTCTCTGCCCCATGTAGAGTTCCTCTATTCTTCCCATGTTCCCTCTCCCTATCCCACTATGAATCAGTCACCTTATATCAGAGAAGACATTCGCCATTTGTGTTTTGGGATTGGCTAACTTCACTTAGCATTACCTTCTCCAACTGCATGCATTTACCTACAAATGCCATGATTTTATTCTCTTTTATTGCTGAGTAATATTCCATTGTATATATATGCCACATTTTTTTTATCCATTCATCTATTGAAGGGCATCTAGGTTAGTTCTACAGTTTAGCAATTGTGAATTGTGCTGCTATAAACATTGATGTGGCTGTGACCCTGCAGTATRCTGTTTTTAAGTCCTTTGGGTATAGACCGAGGAGACGAATAGCTGGGTCAAATGGTGGGTCCATTCCAAGTTTTCCAAGGAATCTCCATACTGCTTTCCAAATTGGCTGCACCAATTTGCAGTCCCACCAGCAAAGTATGAGTGTACCTTTCTCCCCACATCCTCGGTAACACTTATTGTTGTTTGTCTTCATAATAGCTGCCATTCTGACTGGAATGAGTGTCTTTTATTTTTTAAGGGTAAATTAGGATTACCATAGCTGGGATGCAAAGAGAAAAAAAAGAGTCATTATTCACCTATGCTTTCCTAAATAGACCATTAAACCCCACTTTAGAAATGGTACTATTAAAAGGGACATTGGGACAACTCAGTTTTTAAATATCTACTTCTTCTCCTGGAACTCTACAGAGAAAAGGGGGTCGGTATAAAAAGACCTCACAAATTACATCAGTACTGAAACTCATGGTGAAGAAATCCCATAACTTACATATAAATATGGTCATGGCCCAAAGTAGCAGAAACTAGCAGAACCAACATGAGATGCCTTGGCAGGCTGAGAATGAGCAGATTCAGTTGGTACCAAATGAGAATTGGAAGGTTCCTGAGCTGGCTAGTCTCAAAATTAGAAACAGAGGTTCTCTCTGACAAGGAGAGACCCCACTTGGAGTGGAAACTTCTGCAAGCAGTGTGATGATCTCCCTTACCCTCGGGGGATATGTTCTGAGATCTCCAGTGGATGCCTGAAACCTCAGATAGTACAAAACTCTATTCGTACTATTTTTTTCCCTATGCATACATTCCCTATGCACAATATTGTCTTCAGGATATCCAAATTGTCATCATGAGTATTCTTCCACTTTGGGGCCATTAGGGTTATTTGAACACAAGGACTGTGATAACCTCGGCAGTCAATCCATCTGTTAACTGAGACAGCTACAGAGTAGGACTAATGGGTGGGAAGAGTATACTGCATGGATATACCATACAAAGGAATGATTCATGTCCTGGTTGGGACACAGCAGAATGGTGGGAAGAGTTTATTACACTACTCAGAGTGGTGTGTAATTTAAAACTTGTCGGGGCTGGGGGTGTGGCTCAAGTGGTAGCGTGCTCGCCTGGCAGGCCTGCGGCCCGGGGTTCGGTCCTTAGCACCACATACCAACAAAGATGTGTGTCCGCAAAAAAAAAAAAAAAAAAAAAAAAACTAATAAAAAATATATATTTAAAACTTGTCAGTTGTTGATTTCTGGAATTTTTCATTTAATATTTTTGGACCATAATTGTCTTTGGGTGGCTGAATCCATGAAAAGTGAAGCCTTGGATAAGGAGGACTACGAGATTCAAATTCAACACTGTTAACACTGGGAGAGGTAGTGGGAGGCAGAGCAAGAAAGCCCCGGGACACCCTTCCTCTTCTTCCGAATTTCTCAAGTCATTTCTTATGTTTCATTTCCTGGTTGCCTGAAAGCACTTTTACTTTTTCCCTAACTATTATGGAAGAGTCTTCATAATAATTTGTGTTTTTATTTGCTACCTATCCATCTCTTTAAATTTTTTGCCTGTCTTCATATGTTCTCTAATTATAAAAAATAAGAAATGTATGTATATAAGAAATATACCAATGTAGACTAAATAAATGTCCAAAGTTGACCTTGAGACATATACACTTTATTCATGCTGTTTTGCATTTTGGGTTTTCAATTCAAAGATAAATACACACATACACATATGTATTTCTATGATACATATAAGACTAATATTTAATAGACTCACTTTGATATTTAATGAATCCTCTTTGGCTAGGCCTTTAAGTTACTCTCAGATGATCACTGTTACAATCTGTGATTAATATCATTGTACTCATATCTTTATATAATTTTGTGGGTTTTTGTAGAATGCATTCCAAAA